CTAGAGGGGAGCGATTTGGTTGGGAATTTATATCAGTGGGGATTAGAAAGTATCGCACTTTTTCCAAGATTTTGTGGACAATTACTAGAGGGGAGTGATTTGGTTGGGAATTTATATCAGTGGGGATCAGAAAAAAAAGACCTTTTTTTTCGTCATTTTTGCAGGTTTTCCTCTTGAAAATGAGGCCGCCAATAATTTTTACCAGTGCTGTTTCATGTCAAAAAATGCCAAAAAGTGGATATTTTTGAATTATCCAGCCACCTGCTCCACGTTCAAAAATTCGACACGGCTGACACCTTTCCCCCCGGAGTATGTATTTTCCAGCCGAGCAGCCGGCTATTTTCTAAAAAAATAAAGAAAAGCCTTTTCTTATTTTTTTAGAAAGTAGCCGGCTGCTCGGCTGGAAAATACATACTCCGGGGGGAAAGGTGTCAGCCGTGTCGAATTATTGCAGACGGGTGGACGGCTGACGCAAAAAACTACTTTTTTTGATAAAATGCGAAACAATCAAAATCCTCGGGCAATGACATCAAAAAAAGCCGCGCCGGTGGCTTTAATCGGACGCCGAAGCCGCCCGAGGAGCTAATTAAAAGCTACAAATTGCAAGGATCGACTTCAAAAAAAAGAGGAACAAAAAAGAAAAACGGCCGAAATAAAACAGCGGCTTAACATTGCTACCCGATTCCAATCTTCGCGGAATCTAGTGGGGGCAAGATAATTATTCGGCTGCCAATGGCTGCAGGGGGAAAAAAATCACAACAGTCATAGTCCCCCTACTCCCCTTTTTTTGGAGTAGGTGGCAAGAAAGAAGCAAAGTCGTTAAGTTTGTCGCTTTTTTTTTCCTAGTCAGCGCTGGTAAAAATTCCCCAGAGTACTGATCTCCAGCCAAGAAGATGCCAGAAAGTTTTTAAGTTGTTGCTTTTTTTTTAATCGGCGCTAGTAAAAAATCCACAGGGTGCTGATTTCAAGTTGGAAAGTTATCAGAAAGCTGCAGGGTTGTTGCTCTTTTTTCTAATCAGCGCCGGCAACAAGTCCCAGGCTGCTCCTTTCAAGTTACAAAGTCGCCAGAAGCTGGACAGGGTTGCCCTTGCTCCTTCTCTCTGCTCGATGTTGGTCCGAGCCCTCCCAAACCAGATCCCAGCCAAACTCGAACCAGGCTCAAACTAAACCCACACCCAAACCAAACACGAACCAAACTAAAAGAAACACAAACCAAAATGAAAGAGACGCAAACTCGACCCAAAGAAACCCAAACCCAAACCAGACCCAAACAAGTCCCCGGCTGCTGCTTTCAAGTTACAAAGTCGCCAAAGTCTGGATAGGGCTGCCCCTGCTCCTTGTCTTTTTTTGATACGAGCCCCCCCACCCCCAAACCAAACTCGAACAACCCCCCCCCCCCC